ATCACCCTTGGGAAAGCAGGGGCATCTAGCGGGGAGCTGGGAGGGTCCATTACCCTTGGGAAAGCTGGGGCATCTAGCGGGGAGCTGGGAGGGTCCATCACCCTTGGGAAAGCTGGGGCATCTTTGAGCAGTGAGGACAGTCCCCTGTCACCCTGTGGACACCTGGGGTTTCTGTCATTTGTGCAGAAGCATCTACGTAAGGTAGAAGCAACGTTCCCTGGAAGTTTCTTACAAATTAAAACTAAGGACGGGGTCCTAGAGGAATTGAGGGGCTTGCTGTCTACTTCAAGTGGAGGGAATTCTGTTTCATCCCTTTGTCACCACTAAGAGTTGGATTTCAGAGCAAGTACTCAAGCTTGTGGAGGAAGATCAGGGAGAGAAGCCAAGAGGACAGCGAGGAAATGTGGGCATCAGGTTCCCCGGCTGCCCACTCAGAGGATCCCAGGGGGCCGCCTGCTTAACAGTCAGACGTCTCTGTGTGTCGCTGTTGAAGTGAGGACGTGGCCAAGCCCAATTAACACTCAGGGCTCCCATGTGCCACTGGGGCCTGCACAGTCTCTTGGTGGCAGCAGTGACCACATGGCTGGATTTTATTCTATCTGTCCTTGGGCAGAAGGAGGCAGAAGCAATGAGTCCTGCCCTTCTACCTTCAAGTAGGTCAGAACTGTTTTCATAAGATAACAAAAGTTACAACTGAAAGAAACAGGGCCGGGTGTGAAACCCTGTGTTTTCAGCCTCAATTGTGTGTGTGGGAGAGTGGGAAGTCAGGGTGTCTCTCCTGGGGGCCATGAGGCAGGAAGAAAGGGCTGTGGGGCCCATGCCGGTTCCACTGTATGTCAGTATTCTGTCGCTGCCACAGCAAAGAACCACAAACCGGGGGGGTCCAGGTGACAGAAATTCACCCTGTCCCTCGCTGGAGGCTGAGTCTGAGATCCAGGTGTCCTGGGGCTGTGCTCCCTCTGACGGTCCCAGGGAGGCCCCTTCCTGCCTCCTGCAGCTCCTGGCAGCTCCTGGGGTGGGGTGGGGGTGGTGAGGGAAGTGGGGTGGGGGCTGGGGGGAAGTGGGGTAGGGGGTGGGGGGAGTGGGGGTGGTGGGTGGCCACATGTTCAGAGCTCCCAGATGTCTCCAGGGACCAGCCAAGGCTGACACCCTGGATTGGCACTAGAACTCTGATCAGGCATTTTGGACAAAGCATTTCCTCCATGGGGCAGACACAGAGCACACCCCTGGGTAACGGCATGCCCAACTTTTTGGAAGAGTCAAGGGTCACATACTGGCAGCCCGAGTGAGAATCAGTGAGATTGCAAAGTGTTTGTCATTAGTGAGGGTGTCAGACGAGCTGGCATGTTTAAACAGGCAAAAGCAAGTCCACCTCACATCTTGCACATTGGTGGGGGTATTCCAGCACTGGTTAGAATTAAAACCCAAAGCAGGTCACTGATTCTGATGAGCGTGCCCTGGCCCCAGGATCATTAAGAAGAGTTTCAGGGAGAAAAAAGAGATGGTATTGTTTGCCCCTGGTACAAATCCATGGAATTCTGTGCAGGTCTTTTACGTGCTGCTGTATTTTATATCTGTTGCTGTGTTGCTACACGCTTCAAAACTTAATGGCTTAGAAAGCAAAATTCACTTTTTAGCTTTCACAAACTGTTAGCCAGGAAATGGGAAGTGTTCAGCAGGGCGGTTTTTCACAAACTGTTAGCCAGGAAATGGGAAGTGTTCAGCAGGGCGGTTTTTCTCAAGGTCTCTCATGCAGTCTCATGTCAGCTGGGGCTGCATCACCTGAAGGCTTGACTGGGGCTGGTGGCTGCCTCTTGAGGCGAGTGGGCTGGCACTGACTGTTGACTGAGGGCCCCAGTTATTCTCCAGGGCCTGCCTGAGTGTCCTCCCAGCATGGTGGCTGGCTTCTTCTAGAGTGAGTGAACCAACAGGCCAAGTGGAGGCTGCAGCGCCTTTATAATCCAGCCTCAAGGGGAAGTCACACATGGACCCCCACTGTACTCTATGCTGGCTACCACAGACCAGCCCTGCTGTGTGGGAGGGGAGCACACACAGACAAATTCAGGAATTGGGGGTCCCTGGGGCCACCTGGGAGGCTTGCCACCACCACCTGTCCTGTTCCTAAACCACCCACACCCCAGGTTTCCTATTCACAGCACTGTGTGCCACCCTGAGGGGCTGGGAGGCTGACTGTTTTCAGACAGAAAGCACCTCTTTTGTATTTATAGCCTTTCCTTTAGTTTGTCTCTTCCCACTCTTGTTTTATTTAAAAGTAGCAAGAGGCCAGGTGTGGTGGCTTATGCCTATTCCGACACTTTGGGAGGCTGAGGAGGGTAGACTGTTTGAATCCAGAAGTTTGAGACCAGCCTGGACAACATGGCAAAAACGCATCTCTATTTTATAATTTAAAAATAATAATAATAAAATAAAGTGCAAGGTATGCCACCCTCAGCCCACTCCTTACAAAGCTTGCTAGCTTCATCATTCAGATTATTGGGCTACTTTCCACATTACTGCAGGCCATGGTCTTGCTGATAGAATAAGAGCCCCTATTTCTGGAGGGGTTTGGCTTGAGAATTCTTGCCTGAGGTCTCCTGAAGCTGTAGTCCTGCATCAGCTGGAGTTGCAGTCTCATTCAAAGGCCTGACTGGGGCTGGAGGAGGCACTTCCAGGGTCACTCCATCACATGCTGCCCAGGGGTGCTGCTGGCCAGAACTCAGTTCTCTCCAAATGGATGTTGCCATGAGGCCACTTGAATCTCACAGTATGGTGGCTGGCTCCCCTTGGAGTGGATGACCTGAGAGACCAAAAAAGAAAGTGTGTTGCCTTGTGCAGCTCAGTAACGGAAGTCACATGCCATCAACTCTGCCACGTTCCATGGGCCACATGGATCAGACCTGAGCCAATGTAGGAAGACAATGAACCCCAGAAGGTGTGGGTCAGTGGGTTCATCCTCAAGGCCACAGAGCTCCCCAGGAGGTGAGGGCCAGTGGGTTCATGTTGGAAGCCACAGAGCTGCTCAGGAGGTGTGGGTCAGTGGGTGTATCCTGGAGGCCACAGAGCTGCCCAGGAGGTGTGGGCCAGTGGGTTCATGTTGGAAGCCACAGAGCTGCCCAGGAGGTGTGGGTCAGTGGGTGTATCCTGGAGGCCACAGAGCTGCTCAGGAGGTGTGGGTCAGTGGGTGTATCCTGGAGGCCACAGAGCTGCCCAGGAGGTGAGGGTCAGTGGGTGTATCCTGGAGGCCACAGAGCTGCCCAGGAGGTGTGGGCCAGTGGGTTCATGTTGGAAGCCACAGAGCTGCTCAGGAGGTGTGGGTCAGTGGGTGTATCCTGGAGGCCCCAGAGCTGCCCAGGAGGTGTGGGTCAGTGGGTTCATGTTGGAAGCCACAGAGCTGCTCAGGAGGTGTGGGTCAGTGGGTGTATCCCGGAGGCCCCAGAGCTGCCCAGGAGGTGTGGGTCAGTGGGTTCATGTTGGAGGCCACAGAGCTGCCCAGGAGGTGTGGGTCAGTGGGTTCATGTTGGAGGCCACAGAGCTGCCCAGGAGGTGAGGGCCAGTGGGTTCATGTTGGAGGCCACAGAGCTGCCCAGGAGGTGTGGGTCAGTGGGTTCATGTTGGAGGCCACAGAGCTGCCCAGGAGGTGAGGGTCAGTGGGTGTATCCTGGAGGCCACAGAGCTGCCCAGGAGGTGTGGGCCAGTGGGTTCATGTTGGAGGCCACAGAGCTGCCCAGGAGGTGTGGGCCAGTGGGTGTATCCTGGAGGCCCCAGAGCTGCCCAGGAGGTGTGGGCCAGTGGGTGTATCCTGGAGGCCCCAGAGCTGCCCAGGAGGTGTGGGCCAGTGGGTGTATCCTGGAGGCCCCAGAGCTGCCCAGGAGGTGTGGGTCAGTGGGTTCATGTTGGAGGCCACAGAGCTGCCCAGGAGGTGTGGGTCAGTGGGTTCATGTTGGAGGCCACAGAGCTGCCCAGGAGGTGTGGGTCAGTGGGTTCATGTTGGAGGCCACAGAGCTGCCCAGGAGGTGAGGGTCAGTGGGTTCATGTTGGAGGCCACAGAGCTGCCCAGGAGGTGAGGGTCAGTGGGTTCATGTTGGAGGCCACAGAGCTGCCCAGGAGGTGTGGGTCAGTGGGTTCATGTTGGAGGCCACAGAGCTGCCCAGGAGGTGTGGGTCAGTGGGTTCATGTTGGAGGCCACAGAGCTGCCCAGGAGGTGAGGGTCAGTGGGTTCATGTTGGAGGCCACAGAGCTGCCCAGGAGGTGTGGGTCAGTGGGTTCATGTTGGAGGCCACAGAGCTGCCCAGGAGGTGTGGGTCAGTGGGTTCATGTTGGGAGCCACAGAGCTGCCCAGGAGGTGTGGGTCAGTGGGTTCATGTTGGGAGCCACAGAGCTGCCCAGGAGGTGTGGGTCAGTGGGTTCATGTTGGGAGCCACAGAGCTGCCCAGGAGGTGTGGGCAGTGGGTGTATCCTGGAGGCCCCAGAGCTGCCCAGGAGGTGAGGGTCAGTGGGTGTATCCTGGAGGCCACAGAGCTGCCCAGGAGGTGTGGGTCAGTGGGTTCATGTTGGAGGCCACAGAGCTGCCCAGGAGGTGAGGGCCAGTGGGTGTATCCTGGAGGCCACAGAGCTGCCCAGGAGGTGAGGGTCAGTGGGTTCATGTTGGAGGCCACAGAGCTGCCCAGGAGGTGTGGGCAGTGGGTGTATCCTGCAGGCCACAGAGCTGCCCCAGAGGGGGATTCAGTGACAGGGCCAAAGGGATTCCAATGACTGAACCCGAGAATGTCCACATTAGACAGGACCAATCAGGCTGGGATGATGAAAGTCTGGCTGTCACGACACACGGCACAGGCCCTGGACAGAGGCTGTGGGTTGGAGTCTCCACCCCAGCACTTCCCACCTGGGATGTGGGCCTCATCCATCGGCAAGGTGGAGACACAGCAAAAGCGAGCCTTCTTCCCACCATATGCTGGATGATCCAAGGAGCGAACAGAGAAAAAACAGGAAAGTGCCAAAGAGTCACAGCATTGTCGTTTATTTGTGTTATTAGAACGATCCATCCCTTTACAAAATAACAGCTTCATTGGATATAATTACAGACCATACACGTCACCTGTATGAAGTGCACTTTCACCAGCCTTTTCGTCTATTCGGGGTTGTGCGACATCGTCAGTGTAGAATAAGGTCCTATTGACGGTTGAGAGGTGATGGTGTTGATGACGATGACTGACAGTCTGCTCTGTCCCCGGCTGGAGTGCAGGGCGCCATCATAGCTCACTGCCGTGTCCACTTCCTGGGCCCAAGCGATCCTCCCGCCTTAACTTCCCAAGGAGCTGGGACTCCAGGTGTGAGCCACCACACCCAACTGATTTTTCTTTTTTTCAGTAGAGGTGACGTTGTGCTATGTGGTCCAGGCTGGACTCAAACTTCTGAGCTCAAGAGATCCTCCTGCCTTGGCCTCCCAAAGTGCTGGGATTATTTTTAGACCGCAGTGAAAAGTTCCAGTTCATACAGCAGGAAGTGAGCCAGGGAACGCTTTGCCCGCAGGCTCTGGGAACCATCAACTTCACGCTGGAAAAAGACATAAGGACATCAGCAAGAAGGGGTGTCTGGAAGTGCTAGGGCTGGCCTCTGTGCAGAGAGAATTCTGCTGTGTGGAGCAGCTGCGCTCCCTTAGGGGTGGCTGGATATGAGGGCTATGGCCTGTCCTCAAGTGTCGCCCCTCTCCCCCAGCTCCCTGGCATCATACTCAAGATTCAGGGGATAGGGCCTCCCCTGGAACCCTGGAAAGCAGGGAGCACCAGCTGCCCAAGGACACTGGGAAGGAGGGAGTGTCACCACCCGTGTACACCAGGAAAGAAGGGGCATCAGCTGCCCATGGACTCTAGGAAGAAGGGAGTGTTGGGCACCCATGGACACCGGAAAGGAAGGAGTGTCACCACCCGTGTCCACCGGGAGGTAGGGAGTGTCAGTCACCCATGGACACCGGGAAGGAGGGAGTGTCGGACACCCACAGACACCAGGAAGGAGGAAGTGTCAGCCACCTGTGGAAATGGACACTGGGAAGGAAGGAGTGTCAGCCGCCCATGGACACCAGGAAGGAGGGAGCGTTGCCGCCCGTGGACACCGGGAAGGAGGGTGTGTCGGCCACTTGTGGACACAGGGAAGGAGGGAGCGTTCCTGCCCGTGGACACAAGGAAGGAAGGAACGTGGCCGCCTGTGGACAATGGGAAGGAGGGAGCATTGCCACCTGTGGACACAGGGAGGGAGGGTGTGTCAGCCGCCTGTGGACACAGGGAAGGAGGGCGTGTGGGTGCTTGTGGACCCTGAAAAGGACGGAGTGTCACTGCCCATGGACCCTGGCTCTGTGCCCTGCCCTTGGCTCCTTTATCCAAGAGCAAAGTTGAAGCTGTTTTCCCAAAGCTCTGTCTCCTCCAGCTTCCCTCAGCTGCCCTCTGAGATTCCTGCTGATATCCTCCGCCCCCAGGCACGGTCCAGGAGCCAAGAATTCAGGGCAGACCCCGAACCGCAGCTCGCCAAATCATTGCTCACTGTTAGACATCTGGGGTTTTCAACTGTTTGTTTTTGTAAAGGACACACTGAGTGGCCCTGGGCAGCTGCTCTTCTGCAACTCCAGTCCCAGAGCCTCGGGGGTGAAATTCTGTTCTCAGCTACGCCCGTGCCCAGCTGCCCCATCATCCCACGAGAGGCTGGGGTTGGAAGCCCCTTGACGCCCGGCCTCCGAAAACATGAGCATCCCCAGCACCCAGACCTCAGCTTCTCAGTATGGCGTTCCATGCAGAGTGCCCGGGACACCCAGGAGAAACGACCAGGTCCAGTCTGGGCAGGAAAACACCAGAGGCTCATAAGAGATCTTGACCCTCCGGGGCTATGAGGCCATGCCCAAGTACTCAGTAGCCGGCTTGATGGGTGGTGTGGGAGCTGACGGTGCCGGGAGACAGCCTGCTACACATGTGCACGCTCAGACGAGCAGCTGGAAGCCTGGCGACGCGTGGATGCTCCCATGGCTTTGAAGGACGCCCTGTAGAACACGGATTAATCATAACAGAGAAAGAACAATGTCACAGGGAGCGGGGAGTCACCACATCAATTAAACTGACAGTGTTCACGTCGCTGACGGCCCAGGCTGAGCCTCACCCCTGCTGTCCCTGCCCACCCAGGATCTCATCAGTAGGAAGTGAGAGGCCGTCCCGGCTGAGGGTACCTGCAAAGCACCCCGAGTGCCCACAGCACAGAGGGACCAGGGGGCTGCTCAGGCTGTTGAAGACAGGGCAGGGCGTGACGCCTGCGGACTCTGCTCTCAGAACCTCGTGGGGACAGTGGCCAGGCTGCAGTGGGGTCTCAGAGGGACCTGTCCCTGTCCTGATTCTAAGGGTGCTGAGGGCTTCAAATGTCTGTGTGCAGGAGACACACCCGAGGAGCCTGGCTGTGTGGACCACGGTGCCGCCCGGCTGTGCGCGCTCCGTTTCCTGTACTGTCTGCCAGTGCTGCGGCCTTGTCTGTGCACTGCCTGAGTCCGCATTATCTCTGTAACTCGGCCCAGCCCTGGATCCGGGGAGGCTGACCCCCCCATGGGCCTCTCCCAGCCTGAGTGGTACCCTCCTGGCTGCTGACCACTGCTGCCCGAGGCCCTGCCCCAGCAGTGGGCACAGGCTAGAGCGGGACTGCAGGAGAGAACCAGGGTGTGGCAGTTGATGAGCAGGGGCCCCCAGGGCCAAGGCATCTGACCAGTGCCCTGCAGGATGGGCAGACCCCTGGTACCCCAGGCACCAGCGCAGGGCCCACCGTCTCCTGCATTCAGATGGTCTCACATGGGCCAGGGTGTCCCTGGGGTCCTGTCGGGTGCCCCCCTTGGCTCTGTCACCTTCCACAGTATTTCTAAGTATGGCTCACAATCACCCCAAGTCTCCAAGAAGGAACGACAGCAATGCCATGGAGACAGGAAGCCAGCCCTGCAGAGGGCACCGGAGCCCTGGGCACCACCTCTCCTGGGGACGGGGGGTTGGGCACCTTCTTCCCCTCTCTCCCCTCCTTCATCTCTCCTTCCTTCAGCCCTCCTCCCTCCATCCCTCCTTCCTCCATTCCTCCTCCCTCCATCCTCCTCCCTCCATCCCTCCTTCCTCCTCCTTCCTTCCTTCAGCCCTCCTCCCTCGATCCCTCCTCCCTCCATCCCTCCTTCCTCCTCCCTCCTTCCTTCAGCCCTCCTCCCTCCATCCCTCCTTCCTCCTCCCTCCTTCCTTCAGCCCTCCTCCCTCGATCCCTCCTCCCTCCATCCCTCCTTCCTTCAGCCCTCCTCCCTCCATCCCTCCTTCCTCCATTCCTCCTCCCTCCATCCTCCTCCCTCCATCCCTCCTTCCTCCTCCCTCCTTCCTTCAGCCCTCCTCCCTCCATCCCTCCTTCCTCCTCCTTCCTTCCTTCAGCCCTCCTTCCTTGATCCCTCCTCCCTCCATCCCTCCTCCCTCCATCCCTCCTTCCTCCTCCCTCCTTCCTTCAGCCCTCCTCCCTCCATCCCTCCTTCCTCCTCCTTCCTTCCTTCAGCCCTCCTCCCTCCATTCCTCCTTCCTCCTCCCTTCCTTCAGCCCTCCTCCCTCCATCCCTTCATCCCTCCTCCCTCCATCCCTCCTTCCTCCTCCCTCCTTCCTCCTCCCTCTTCCTCCTCCCTCCATCCCTCCTTCCTCCTCCCTCCATCCCTCTCCCTCCATCCCTCCTTCCTCCTCCCTTCTCCCTCCTTCCTTCAGCCCTCCTCCCTCCATCCCTCCTTCCTCCTCCCTCCTTCCTTCAGCCCTCCTCCCTCCATCCCTCCTCCCTCCATCCCTCCTCCCTCCATCCCTCCTTCCTCCTCCCTCCATCCCTCCTTCCTCCTCCCTTCTCCCTCCTTCCTTCAGCCCTCCTCCCTCCATCCCTTCATCCCTCCTTCCTCCTCCCTCCTTCCTTCAGCCCTCCTCCCTCCATCCCTCCTCCCTCCATCCCTCCTTCCTCCTCCAACTTGAACCCTCAAATTGCTAGTGCCCCCTCCCCAGTTGTGAGAACCCCAAACATTCAGATATTGACTTGTGCTTCCTGCACCATGGCAGAATCACCCCCTCTCCAGAATGGCTGGCCCCCGACCTCCTTCCCCTGACCTCCATTAGCCCACAAGGCTCTGGCCCCCATGCTGGTTCAGCGCCATGGCTGGTTGGTGAAATGACAGCCTGCTCTGCTGGGAGCCTGGGAAGAGGAAGGGACTGGGGCAGGGAGTCCAGCTTGGGAGCCCATGAGCCCTCTAGGACCCGGCCCTGGCTGGAGAGGGCAGCACGTGAGACACAGTTCATTCACGGGGCGCAGGGTTGCTATCTGCAGGGCTTGTGCTAACTCTAGCAAACGGCAGACGCCCCCTTTCCTCCCAGGGCCTGGAATCCGCCATGGCCACTGTGCTGAGGTCAGCTTTGAAAAGCCCCCATTGCAGCCGTGGGGCAAAGGCCGGGGGAGGGGGCAGCTGGAAGCTCTGCCAAGGCTGCTCTGTTGTGATCAGCCTGGCCTGGGGCACCCTGGGAGACTCCTGAACCACCCGGCCTCCCGGCCCCCTGGCCAGTAAGATGCCCTCACTCAGGCACGCCTGGCCCCTGGAGGCAGAGAGCCTGGGACTCCACAGAGAGGCCATGCCCTGCACCCACTCGGCCTGGACCGGAGCCTGGGCCCTGTGTGGTCACAGCTGGAGGTCTTTGAAGGCGGCGGCGGGGGCAGATCCCATGGGGGCACCCCCTCCTCCAGCAGGGCTGGCTCCTGTGGGGCATGGGAAGATGTGGCAGAGGGCGTGACCTCCAGGAGAGGCTTGGCTGGAGCAGCCCTGGGGGGCAGCCAAGTGTGGGGCAGGGGCTCCAGCAGTGACCTCTTTGCCATGACAGGAGGCCTGGCCTGAGGGAAGCACGGTTCCATTAACCACCCACCCGCCTCAGCCCAGCTCCCCAGCTCACCAGCTCCAGGCACTCAGGTGGGCTTGAGGCCCTGAGGCTGTTGGTACCGAGGCGCCCTGTTGCTTATTCCAAGGGCCAGCGGCCAGCCGGGTCTGGGGGCCACTGAGCAGGAAACGTGCCCCAACTCAGACCCCCTGGGCATGGGCAGCCGCCTTGGCTCACTCCTCCCTCTGGTTCCTTTGCCTGCAGTGAGGACTCTTCACCCAGGACCTTCCCGTGCCAGAAGTCAGCGAGCTGGTGACGAGACTGAGGCTGATCTGGGCCGTGTGGGGCTCCTGCTCACGGGGACTGTTGGTCTCGTGTGGGGACTGTTTCAAGAAGAGCCTCAGGACACCAGGAAGGTTCAGAAGCCCGCTGTCCCCGCCAGGCGAGAGGGCCCAGGGTGGAGGGAATCCTCGGGGCAAGGTCCTCACTCCAGCACCGCAGACCCTGTCACTCACCTCCCACCCCTATGCACACAACCCACCAGGCCCTGCCTGGTGTTGGCATCGCTGCTTTGGCAGCAAGCGGGAGAGATGTGCTGAGAGGGCCCAGGCCTGGGGGGCGCTGCCCTTCCTTCATAGGTCCTGTGACTTTTACTCCCCTGACAGGCGGTGCCCACCCACTCCTCCCAACCCCCAGACAGGAGGAAGGGAGCTCAGGGCGGTGTCTTCGGTGCTGCGGGGGTGGAGTCAGGCCCAGATCCCGTCGTGGATTTGACAGAAAAGGAAACGGGGTGTGAGTGCAGATGAGGCTCAGCCAGGGCCCCCGCAGCTCTCACCCCAGAGCTCAGCTCCAGCCTTGCTGGTGCGGCTCCGTCTCCAGAACTGTGGAAAACGCCTCTGTCCACCCGGCATGCTGGGCAGTGCCTGCTTCCCCCATGCCAGTCGCTGGCCGGCTCCCCAGGCCTCTATGGGAGGGTGGCTGGTCTCTCTTAAAAGTCCCCTGGCCTGGCGCGGTGGCTCATGCCTGTAGTCCCAGCACTTTGGGAAGCCAAGGCGGGCAGATGACGAGGTCAAGAGATCGAGACCATCCAGGCCAACATGGTAAAACCCCGTCTCTACTAAAATAACAAAAATTAGCTGGGCGTGGTGGCTCGTGCCTGTGGTCCCAGCTACTCAGGAGGCTGAGGCAGGAGAATTGCCTGAACCCAGGAGGCACTCTGTGGAGAGGCTCACCAAGGAAAGCTCGTGTCCAAGCTGCCCAGCCGAGCCTAGGTGTGGCTGTGCCAGCCCAGGAAGACAGGCAGGGTCTTGGAGCAGGCAGCCCTACCCCGGCACAGCCTCGTGCTTCCCACTCAGCCTCCTCCCAGCCACTGGAGGTCACGCTGATTCCCCAAACGCCTTCTGCCCTGAGCCGGGGACTCCCTGTCACGCACCTACCTTGCCCGGCCTGAACAAGAGTCTGCGACAGGAACCCAGCTCGGGAGGGTGCAGAGGAAGCCAAGGGCCCGCACAGGTGAGAGGTTCTCGGCTCTGAGCTCACCCAGCCCGGGCTCAGCAGCAGCCTCAGAACGCACACGGGTTTCCAGCTTTGCTTTCATTCGTGGGGACCACTTGGTTTGGGCTTTAGGCAAAGCTCATTTGCCTCTGGGCAGAAGCGGCCAGAGCTGGGATCCCCTGAGCCGTGGGCAGGGACGAGCGCTGGCTGAGGCAGGATCTGCGGAGGGACCGTCCCTGCCGGGCAGCTCTGAGCCCAGAGCTGCCTATACCTGTGAAACAGGTCGGGCTGAGCCACCATCCAGCAAGTGAAGAGACCAGAGCTGGGCCACTGCAAAGCCTCTCTGCCACCCACCACCCCAGGTCCTCACAGCCCTCACCAGTGTCCCAACTCCCGGCAGGTGGCCCATAGTGCTCCCCGACAAGGCACGCAGGTACCATCGGGCGGTTCTTCAGGCGGCTTCTATAAATGCTTGGCCCAGCGTCCTCGGTAGATGGCTGCTGCCTGGGGCACTGCTCTTACTGTGATTGTCATCCCTGCCCCTGCTGCGTGCTTAGACTCAGACTTGCCCCAACACCAGTGAAATTGCCCTCCACAGGCTTGTTCATCCACAACACGGCTAGGCAGGTGTGCGGGCAGTTCAGGCCCTGCTCAGGGGGGCCAAGGCTTTAACAGAGGTTGAACGTATGTCCCTGCAGGGAACCGGTTTCCTTATAGACCCAGAGACCAGCCAGGTAGGGGACTTGAGGAGCAAAGATCCCAGGGATGGTGCCGTGGTCACGGGGGCATGGGGGAAATGGGGAAGGAGCTCCCACCCTGCCAGGACCTCCCACAGCTGAGTCCACTGGGAAGCCAGCCTGCAGGGCCTGGGGTGGGGGCACAGGGAGCCCACCCAGCAGCATGGGGACGACAGGAAGCGGGACAGAGCACCCAATCAGCTCCATCGCAAGGACTCACACCTGACATTCGTCCCTCAGGCCACGACTCTGGCTCTCGGAGTGTCACTTATACAAAAGAGCCCTTTCCTGGCATAGAGACTGCTACCCTCAGTTTCACCACTGTGGAAAGTTCAAAATCAGGATGGATGTCCTTCCCACTGTGTAGAAACGCCTGGTGCTCTTTAAATGTGTGAAGTCGTTCCCCGCTGGGCGACTGGTCTCGGTTCATCCATCACATTCATGGCTGCTGGATCCTGATGGTCTCAGCCCAGCGCCCCTGGGAAGCCGTACTGGGCAATCCATCATCCGTCCAAGCCTGCGATCCGGAGGCAGCCAAGGTCTAGTCTAACTCCAGGGACAGAGATGGAGGGGAGCCTGCCACAGCCCCCATGCCATTCTGTTAGGGGGCACTCCTGGCTGCAGCCCCTGCCCAGTGCCAGGCTGATGTCCACACCTTCCTGCTGTTCCCACCATCTGAGCCGACCCACTTTTCATGGCTGCCGGCTGCCGAGCGCACAGAGGGCTCACCCTTGCCATCTTCCTGTGGCCTGGCTGCAAGCCAGGTGGGCACCCGCCCATTTTGGGGAGCAGAGGGAGGCGGGTGCAGGGCAGGTGGGTGAGTGGATGTGGTGGGAGTGCCTGTGGGGTTTCCTTTGATTGCTTCTGCTGATGAACAGAGAGGTATCCCCATCAGCGAGTGGGGGTGGGGAGGGGGCGTACAGGTTAGAGACAAAGGGAAGGGAAGTGTATTCCCGCAAAAATACAACCGGGTGTGCACGCTCTCTGCAGCTCTCAGTGCAGGGTCTCTGACCCTTAGGTGCAGAGCAGGCAAAGGTTCACAGCACCTAAGTTTGGGACTTTGGTTAGGTGAGTCCCAGGAGGTGCAAAGGGGTTGAGGGTTTGTCCAAATGGTGGGGAGCCGCAGGTCGGCTCCTGAACGGGAGCCAGCTACAGGGGAGATGGCGGAGCAGAGGTCAGCACAGCGTGCACTGCAATCCACGGCACGGCACGGGGCTCCCTTAATTTAGGTCTCCTCCACCCTCTTTCCCACAGACACCTGCATCTTTAATTGGAGTTATTTCTTGACACCTGTGTATCTCACAGCTTTCTGAACAATGCATGGCTGCCAAGTATACTGACTTTCATCTCCCAAAACTTGCTGACATCTCTTAATATTTCTGCTATTTATCCCTGGAAAGTATTAGGCTGTCTTTGGAAATTATTTGGACTTTTCCAGAACACAGCGACATCACCTGCGAATAGGGGGTTTTGTTTTGCGTCTTCCTTTCCACGGCATCGGCCTCTGGCTGCTTTTCTTTTCTTCCTCTGCTCCCGAGGCCTCCACAGCTGAACAGCTGTGGGAACGGCACCCAGCCCCGCTCCTGATGTCAGGACGCACGCTGCAGCTACAAGGCTGCTGTGGAAACGCCTGATCGTCAAGGGAACTCCCTTTTATTTTCTAGAATGCTTTTTTTTTTTAAGCATTTGTCTTGAATGCTCAATTTTCTCAAAAGCTGCGTCTGCTTCAGCTGTGAGGATGGCATGAATTTCTCCTCCTCCAATCTGTCAGTGTGTGGAGTCACACTGAGTGACATTCTAAGGCCAAGCCAACCTGCAGTCACGGTCGAAACACAACACGTCATGGTGAGAATCTGAAGGACTGAGACTGTTAGATTATGGGAAACTGTTATGATGAATAAGAGCTTAACACGGGTGCTGAATACAAAATGGGACACCTGACTGAATCCGGCCACAGCCCGTTACCGAACAAGCCTGCCCACTGCTAGATGTGGTGTGCTAATATTTTGCTCAGATTTATCTAAGTAAGAACCGGCTGTAATTTTCTTCTCTGTGATGTCCTCAGGTTTTGATGCCAAGGAAATGCCAGCCTCGAAAAATGAGCTCGGGGACGTCCACCTCTGTCCGTCTCCCGGAAGAGCCTGTGAACCAATGCAGTCATTTGGGATCTCTTACCCCGACTTTTCGAGGCTGGTATTTCCTTGACATCAAAGAAAAATCTCAGTCCTTTAGATTGTCACTCTGCAAAGGACACGATCTCATTCCTTTTCATGGCTGCATAGTACTCCATGGTGTGTAGGTACCACATTTTTTTCTTTCTTCTGAGACAAGTCTCACTCTCTCGTCCAGGCTAGAGTGCAGTGGCGTGAACTTGACTCATGGCAACCTCCACCTCCCAGGTTCAAGTGATTCTTCCACCTCAGTCTCCCACGGAGCTGGGATTACAGGCACACGCCGCCATGCTTGGCTAATTTTTGTATTTTTAGTAGATGGGTTTTCCTCCTGTTGGCCAGGCCTGCCTCGAACTCCTGACCTCAAGTGATCCGCCCACCTTGGCCACATGTCCTGTACCCAGTCTCTCACTGACGGGCATTTGGGTTGATACCACGTCTTTGCTACTGTGAGTAGTGCTATGGTGAAAATACACGTGCATGTAAGTTTAGTCACTGTGGAAGACACGTGGCGATTCCTCAAAGACCCAGAACCAGAACGACCATTTGACCCAGTGGTCCCATTACCGGGTACACACCCAAAGGAACAGAATTCATTCCATAATAAACATGGCAATTTCCACGAAAACCTCTGCTTGGATTTTCACCGAAATTGCACTGAATGTACCATTTAGAGAAAAATGATCGTCTTTGCGATGCTGAGGCTTCCACCCACCAACAGGCTGATCCTCCTCCTTTTCCTTTCAGGTTTTCTTCACCTCTTCCAGCTTTCCGTCCCAGACAGCGTTAGATTTGCTTCTCCATAGTCTAAGCTTCTCAGTGTCCATAGTAACATTGGTAAGTGATCATTACTGTTTCCGGAATTTAGAAACATAATCGGGTTTTGTATGCTGGCCTCGTGGGCAGCAATCTTGCAAATTCACGTGCTTTGAGTGGTTTGCTTGTGGGATCCTCGGGGTTTTCTTCTCATGTAACCGTGTCACCTGCAAACACTGACAGCTTCGTTTCTGGTTTTCAAGATATTCAAGCCTGCTTTTGCTTTTCTTGATGCAGTTTTGCTCTTGTTGCCCAGGAGGGCAATGGTGCCATCTCAGCTCGCCACAACCTCCGCCTCCCGGGTTCAATCAATTCTCCTGCCTCAGCCTTCCAAGTAGCTGGGACTACAGCACACGCCACCATGCCCAGCTCATCTGGTATTTCTAGTAGAGACAGGGTTTCTCCATGTTGGTCACACTGGTTTGAAACTCCCGACCTCAGGGATCCGCCCGCCTTGGCCTCCCAAAGTGCTGGGATTACAGGGCTGAGTCACCACCTGCAACCCTTTTAAGCCTCTTTTTTTGCCTTGCTGTGCTGGTGCATCGCTGTGAGGGGCAGCCATCTTTGTTACATTTCAGGGAGCAGCGGGGGGTGGCAGGGGCAGCTCTGCACTTTCCATCCTTGAGGGGGTTGCTTGTAGATTTCTTATAGATACCTTTGATCAAATGAAGGAAGGTCCTTTCTATTCCTGGTTTGCTAAAGGTTCTCTGAACCCATTTACGCCTGAGGTCACGTACTGCTTGGCAATGACCTCAAGCAGTAGGATATAAAGACCTCCCACATGCTTAGCGTTCCAATAATGGAACACTAGGCAGAATTCATCATGCATGGGCACTGAATTTTACAAAATTACTTTTCTGCATTTATTAAGAAAACCATATAGTTTACCTCTTTTGTTAGTGTGATGGATTACATAGGCTGAGGCAGGAGAACTGCCTGAACCCAGGAGGCAGAGGTTGCAGTGAGCCGAGATCGTGCCATTGCACTCCAGCCTGGGTAACAAGAGTGAAACTCCGTCTCAAAAAAAAAAAAAGACTTTTGAAATATTATACCAACTTTGCATACCTGAACTCAACCTGGTCATGATATATCATCCCTCAGTACCACTGGATCAGGCTTACACGCGTTTCGTTAGGGCTGCTTAGCATGTTCAAGAGAGACACTGGCCTGGATTTTCTGTTTTTTCTGTGAAACATCCTTGTCGGGTTTTGGTGTCAGGGTTACACTGCCTCATAAAACAAGATGAGAACTGAGAGCCTCGTTTTTACTTTCAGCTATGAGGAAGACTTTAAAAAGACTGTTACTCTTTCTTAAACAGTGAAATGCTGAGCCTGGAGTTTTTCTTTGTGACAAGATACAGGTAAGATTTCCTAAAGATACAATCCTGCACATGTACCCCAGAACTTAAAATACATTAAAAAAAAAAAATTTCCTAAACAAGTTTTTTCCTAGTAATTTGTCAACTGCATCTAACGTTTCCGACAAACATGGCATTTTGAGACAGCCTCGAGTCTTTATGTCTGAAGGGTTCACAGGTTCTGACCCTGTCATTTGTGCCTGCTCTTACCTGACTGGTGGACCAGGGCTGTAGAAGCGCACAGTCTTCTCAAAGAACCCACTTTGCTTTTATCGGATGCATCTACCCTATGCTCTGTGCCTCACTTCATTCATTTTTCCCTGTCTTTTA